AGCTAAGGGGGGGGGGGGGGGGGCGGGAGGGGAGGAGGAAGTCGGGAGGGTGAGGGCGATCTGGTGGTCAGGCATGCTGCCACTGCCGGTGACCGTGGTCGAGCAGGGTGGCAGGGCTGCTGGACACTGCTCTCTCGAGACTGGACGTAGACAGGATGACTATCAAGCAGGCGTGGGTACTGGTCCTTGCTCTCACAGCCGCCAACCTGATGTATGCGGGGTATGTGGCTCAGCTACACGCCGCCATCCTTCGCGAGCCGCTGACGGCCCCGCGGGTGGAAGGCAGTGGGCGCGGCGAGGGAAGCCAAAGACACGGACGAGAGCAGGGAGAGACAGGCGGGCAGAGGACAGGCCATCAGACAACAGGCACGACTACTGAGAGAACACTTGTTGTCTATGCCTATTACGAGAACATCGATCTGGGATATCGCGACAATGCGGCGTACTTTCTCCGTCACGGCGTGCTGGCCGGCTCGGCCGACATCGACTTTGTCATCGTCATCTCGGGCGAGCACACCCTCGACTCTTTGACCATCCGGCCGAGCCAACGCAGTGCTAGCGCCATCCTTGGCGCACCCGACTCGGAGTGGCCCATCAACGCACCCAACGTCCTGTTTGTCACCAAGGACAACCGCTGCTATGACTTTGGCGCATACGCCTTTGGCCTCGATGCCGCCAAGGAGTGGAAGCCCGAGGCGCGGTACACCAAGTTTGTGCTCATCAACTCCTCGGTCCGTGGTCCGTTCCTCCCACGCTACATCACCGAGGCTGTGCCGGCTGTGCCGTGGACTTCCTGGCTCACCTCGCGGGTGACAGGCTCGGTCAAGCTTGTCGGCACCTCGATCAACTGCCAGTGCTACGCGGTGTCGGACGAGCACGATGAATGGCCGCCGCCGGCTACGTCCGATGACACTGCTGAGCGCTCGCTGGTCGAGAGCCTGTGGAGCTCGCTGGTATCGGTGGCGGACACGCTGGTTGGTGGCGGGAAGCACGGCAGTGAAACGCGGTGTCTCCCGCACGTCCAGTCGATGGTGCTCGCCACCGATGTGACCGGCCTCGCCGCCATGCGACGGGCCTCGGTCTTTGAGTGCCACTCCAAGCTCGCCCACGTTGTGTTCTACTCGGAAATTGGAGCGTCCAAGGCCATATATGACGCCGGCTACGACGTCTCTTCGCTAATGCTCAAGTACGCTGGTTCGGAGAGAGACCACTCGTTCTCGTGGCGCGAGCAGTATCTCTCTGGCTCGGCCAGCTGCAACCGTGGCGCCAATCCGACGCTGCACTCGTCGTACGATGGACGCGCGCTCGATGCGCTCGAAGTCATGTTTGTCAAGGCCAAAAAGGAACTCTCGCCGGGCTACAACACAGTCGCCGCTCTCTCGCGCTACGCGCTTGCTATCGAGGTAGCCGCAGACTCTGAACTCGGCGTCCACGTCCGCGACTCCAACGCCATGGTCGACGACAAGCGGATCGCGCAGCGGATCCGCGACGCCTTTGCCGCCGAAGCCAGAGCCGCCGCCGACTGCTCGCTCGACTTTGACGATGCATTTTACCTCGCCGCCAACCACGATGTGGCCGAGGTTGGCATGGAGCCGTACATGCACTGGCAGCGTGACGGCTTCTTTGAGGGACGCCGCTTCCGGTGGAAGGCCCCCACCGCCGCCGACGAGCCCGGAACCGCCATCGGCATTCCGCGCAAGTGTGAGCCACTTCTTCGCACTCGTATGTTCCACGGCATCGACTACGACTAAAGACCTTCATGCCCGATCCGCACCACCTTGCCGTCATCACCGGCAGAGCAGCCGGCGAGGCGCCAAAAAGCGAGCCGCCCGCCAGCACACGTACAAGCGCACACACTCTCACTCACTCACGCACAGGCACAGGCACAGGCACAGGCACGCACACCTCACTCACACGCTTCGGCATGTCCTCGCTCACCTACCGCAAGCTCAAGACCGAGTCGTCCGCACGTGAGGAGCAGAACCGGCGCGAGCAGAGCCGGCGCAAGGGCCTCCTCGTTCTCATGCTGGGCTATCTGGCTGACCAGGGCTACACCCAGGCGGCTGCCACGCTGGAGGCCGAAGCCGGCGTCGATCTGGAGGCCTACTGCCCGGCAGACAACATTGATTTGTACGACGTTATCGCCGATTACGAAGCCTACTACGAGCTGCGCTTCTCGCGCAAGCCCAAGCTCTTCCGCCGCAGGCAGGGCGACGACCCGGTGCCGTCGCGAAAGGCCCCTCATCGGACCTCGTCGCGCGGGCCTGGGCTCTCCTCGCGCAAGGCCAAGAGTCAGCGGGCCAAGTCGGCGTCGCGGTCATACACGGCGCCGCAGGGAATGGAGTCGGCGGCGGCAAAAGCTGTCATCGACGCCGGCAACCGCTACGCTGGCCTCCCGCAAGTCCAGCGGTCATCAAGCCGGGCCTCGGCCCGATCGTCGGGCGCCCGTCCGGCCTCGGGCCCGCCGAGCCGGGCGCACACGGACGCCTCCGCTGGGGAGGGCCGTGGTCGCGCCTCTGGCTCGGGACTCGGCGCACTCGCGGTATCTTCAAGCAAGATCGAGCCGGCGTCGCGGTCTGCCGCCCTCCCGCCTCAGCCTTTGCCCGCCGAGTCGGGCACTGCTGCTGCGGCAGATACGTACTTTGCCAACCGGCTTCTCAAGCCGCTCCCGACGGAAGTGTACGGATGGACTAGCGAGCTCGCCGAGCTGGCCTCGGTCATCACCCGCGACATCTTCCTGGAGAATCCTAACGTGAGCTTTGACGAGGTGTGCGGCCTCGAGTCGGCCAAGCGCGTCCTCCGCGAGGCCATGATCATGCCGCTCAAGTTCCCGCAGCTCTTCACCGGTATTCTCAAGCCGTGGAAGGGCCTGCTGCTGTTTGGCCCACCAGGAACTGGCAAGACCATGCTGGCCAAGGCAGTTGCCACCCAGTGCAAGACAACGTTCTTCAACATCTCGGCCTCGTCCATCGTCTCCAAGTGGCGCGGCGACTCGGAGAAGCTTGTCCGCGTCCTGTTCGAGCTGGCGCAGTACCACGCCCCATCAACCATCTTTCTCGACGAGATCGATGCCATCATGTCTGGCCGCGGCTCGTCGGGCCCCGGTGGCGCCGAGCACGAGGGCTCGCGCCGTCTCAAGACCGAGCTCCTCATCCAGATGGACGGCCTCTCGCCCGCCTCGGGTGTCTTTGTCCTCTGCGCCTCCAACATTCCATGGGAGCTCGACCCGGCACTCCTCCGCCGCATCGAGAAGCGCATCCTTGTTGGCCTCCCCAACGAGGCTGCTCGCGCCACCATGTTTGCCGACAACCTGCCGCCCGAGCGTGGCCCGGGTCTCGACTACGTCGAGCTGGCTGCCGCCACCGCTGGCTACTCGGGCTCCGACATCCATTCGGTGTGCAAGGAGGCTGCCATGTGTCCACTCCGCCGCCTCATGGCCAACATTGACTTCGACGCAGCTGCTGATCTCGAGGTCGAGCTTGGGCCCGTGACCATGGACGACGCCCGTGCCGCCCTCGCCTCCATCCGCCCATCGTCGTCAGCCGAACTCTCGGCCAAGCTGGCCGCGTGGGAGTCGGCGCACGGCGCATCGTAGTGATTTATTTTTGGCGAGACGGCTCCTCACGACAGCTTGGCCAGGAAGCTGGCCCACCAACTCGCGTCTTCCCGAAGCGGCGCGAGGTCGTTGTCGGCCTCAACGTGTGCCCGCGGCGGGTGGACCCCGCGCTGGGCGCCCTCGTCAAGCACAGCCCGCGCCGTCTCGACATCGCCGGCCGCGACCAGGCAGCACGCGTAGTTGTACGCAAACTTGGGCTCGTAGGGGTAGCTCGCGGCAATGAGCGGGAGAGCCTCGTCGTACTCGCCGATCTGCATGTGTGCGGTAAAGAGGCGCTCGACATCATTAGTCGCCGCCGCGCGCGGGTGCGGAACAAGCGAGAGTGTCTTGCGGAAGATCGGAATGGCCGACCGCCACAGCTCGGCCGACGACGGCGCCGGTGTTGACAACGCTTGCTGGTACATGCACCCACCGTACGCCTGCATTGCCTGCAGCGACTCCCCGCCCGACACGTTGACCGCCGCCGCCGCCGCCGCCGCCGCAATCGGAAACAGGCTTGCCATCAGCTGTGGCGCGCGCTGCGCAATGCCGAGGCACTTGCCGGTCGCCTCGAGGAGCGCGCCGAGGTTGTTCGAGTGTCGCTCCACCACTGCGGCAGAGTGCTTGGCGAGGAGCTGGGCGTACTTGCCCGCCTCGCCCGGCATCGTGAGCACCCCGTTGGCGGCAACGTTGATCCATGTTGCCAGCAGCTGGGCCTCCTCGGGTGTGCCCGCGCCAAACGAGGCGAGTCCGGCATCCAAAAGCGCCGCTGTTGTTGCCAGGTGCTGCGGCTCGCCGGTCATGAGCGAGAGCGTAAACGCGACTTCGATCCTCCCCATCATGATGGCGAGCGCATACTCACTAGCACCGCCCGAGGCTTGCAGCGCCTTAACAAAGTCGGCATCGGCGGCAGCAAGCATCTCACTGCCCTGGGCTGGCACCGCCTTGGCCAGCGCCACCCGAAGCTTGGCCATGCCGAGCGCGACTCGAACTGGCGGAACGCCGCCGCCGCTGCCCGCCACCCACGCGCTCAGCTGCGCTAGAGCCGATTGCATCCGCTCCGCCTGACCGGTCATCCGCGCGAGGAGGCCGAGCTCGGCAACAGCATCCGCACACGAGCCGTCAAGATCCAACGCCCGTTCAGCCCAAGCCAGGCCGGCCCCAAGATGCACGCCCTTGCCAGCCATGTCGGGGTCGAGCTCGGCAAGAACTCGCCGAATAGTGGCCGCCGTCGCCACTACACTCACATTTCGGCCCCACTGCGAGCCGTCGGCCCGCATCGCTGCCTCGAGCCGCTCAGCCGCCCGGACCAGCCCAGGCAGCTGCCCGGGCCCGCCCAGCCCGCCTGGGCCTTGCGATATGCTCTCAAACTCGCAGAGAGCTGCGTTGGCCAGTAGCTCGCTCGACGCCGGTACGCCGGTAGTGATGGCGGCGGCAACGCCGGCGTTCCCGATGTCGACCGCAGCCTGGCGCGCGGAGATTGCCTCGGCCACCTTGCCACCCGCCGCCAGCGCTTGCGCATGCAGCCGTCCTGCCACAATTCGCGCCGCTAGAGCCGTAGCTGCCGCTGGCGTTAGCTCCAGAGCCTTGCTGGCCAGCACAATCCCGGCCTCGGTGTACCGCTCCGCACCAGCAGCGCCCACGCTCGGGTCGGCGCTTGCGGCTCGCATGTAGTCGGTGGCCAGCCGCGAGCCCACAACTTGCAGCGCCGCAGCGCCGCCGGCGCCGACTGCCGCCACCGTTGCAAACTCACACGCGGCATCGATCAGCGCCAGGCCAGCGTCGACCACGCCGCCAACAGCGGCCGTCCCGACTGCAGCGGCTGTGCCATCAGACGCCTTGATCACGCCCGACGCGCCGGTAATCAGGAACCGGATGCTCTCGGTAACATGAGCACAGTTGATGTTCTCGGTGTCAAGCTCCGCGCACGGCAAACTCTCCAGTGCAGCTGCAAACGCAACCACAGACTGCTCTGTTTCGCCATCAAAGCACGCCTCGAGCGCATCGGCAAGCCCGACGGCGGCCGGCACGCTCATGAGCGAGGCAACGGCACGCGAGGCGGCGGCAAGGAGGGCAGCGGCTGAAGGTCCGCTTGACACCCCGCCCACAACACAGTCGGAAGCCACTCCCACAATCATCGACAGCGCATGGACACGGATGCGGGTCGGTTCGGAAGCCATAGCCTCCATAGCAGGCGCAAACGAGGCGAGAAGCTCCAGCCCTTGGCCTGGCGGTGCAAGCTGGACCAGCACACCGGCGGACTTGATGCGGAGATAGATGACCTGCTTGTCGAGGCCTGGAGTGAGCGACATGCCACGCGCACGAGCCGACGCCAGTGTAGCATCAAGATCTTCTAGCGCAGCCTGGACCGCTGCGCTGTGCGCCGCCGCGTCGCGGAGATCACTCTCGGTCCACGTGCCGATGATGCCGCCCTTGAGTCGGGCGTTTGTCCACAGGGAGGCGGCCACAACAAGGCATCCGAGCATCTCAGCAGCGACGTCGGCCGACTCGGGCATGCGCTTCTTGAGAGGACGCAGCAGTTCCAGCGCCTCAGCAACGGCAGCGCGCGCCTCGGGGCCAGGTGGAAAGCTCGACGCGGTGTTGCGGAGGACCGAGGCGAGGCGGACCAGTGCCGCCGGCGTGTTCTTGACCGAGAGGCGGGCAGCCTCGCGAGAGACAGTGAGGCACTCGCGCAGCGCTGCAATGGTGGCAGGCGAGCCATCACCCGAGACGGTGGCCACCAGCAGGAGGGTGTTGGCCAAGTTGAGCCGGACGAGTTCGGCGTCGGCGTCGACGGCGGCAGCGCGGCGCAGGATGTCCAGAGCTCGTTGAGCATGGCTCAAGACCTCGCTCGCTAGAGCCGAGCCCATCTGGAGCGAAGATGCAATGCTAGCGTGGAGCGAGCCGGCAAGGGCGAGGGCGTCGACCGTGCCCATCGTGTCGCGCTCGGCGGTGACAACCATGTCCAGCTCGAGAGCTGCCAGCCGAAGGTCGGCAACGTGAGCCGCATGGTCACCCGTAGCAACCATCCTGGCTTCAGCGAGGTGGCGGAGGGAGATTGCCTTGCTGGTCTTAACGGTCATGAGGGTCGGCCCAAGCTCGCGGGCGCGAGCAAAGTGGTTGAAAGCAGTCTCGACAAGCGCTTCGGCGGTGATGGTCGTCCCGTTTGCGAGCTTGATGCCGGCATCCTTGGCAATGCCGGCCACCACAGTCTCAAGCGACTGCCCGCCGCGGATAATGACTGCAGCTAGGCAAGCCTTGATCATGCCAAGATTGGCCAAATCGACAGCAACTTCAACTGCAGTCGCGCAAAAGTCGTCGAGCTCGAGAACCTTGGCCGCTCGAGACCAGGCGTGGATGGTATAGCTGGCCGCCGCGGCCGGATGGAGGACCATAGCTTCGAAAGCGAGGCGCAAGAGGTCGCGCGACCAGGTGCGGTAGATACCACGAGCATTGGGCTGGGACTCGATGGCTTCGGCGAACATCTTGGACGCCTTATCCATGGGCGCGTCGGCACCGGCCACGTTGCCAATCCGGATCTCTTCGATCGCCTCGTCGTAGGCGTCCGAGGCTTCCAGGACGGCGGCGTAGGACATCATGCGAGCTTGTGGCTCAAACGCGCCGTCGTCGCGCAGCCCCACCGCGGCCTTGACGTCGCGCAAGACAGCGTCAGGATCGACGCCAAGGCCGTCGGCCTTGCCGTCTGCAGCAGAGCGGCGGAGATCGGTGCCGGCGGCAAGCTGGGGCCACGAAGACCAATCGCCAGGCCAGCGCGCGGCCATGTCGCTGGCCAGCAACGAGGTCCACAGAGTGGTGGCCGCGTCCGCGTTTGCCCCGGAAACGACAGCGTCAAAGGCGGCCGTCGCCTCGGCAAGCGCCGCAGGCGAACACGTTCGCCAAACGCGGCGGAGTCGTGCCTTGAGCAGCCGGACGACCATGTCGTGGAGAATGGCGTTGGCAAGGACGCAATCATCGGCGACTGAGAGGTCGAGAGCCGAGAGCACGTGGCCGAGAAGTGCAATGTTGATGCCTTTGGCGCCGAGATTAAAGGCGAGAATGCTTGGAGTGACGTTGGCAATGCCAACGTCGCTCTTGAGCTGCTCGAGACAGCTCGGGATGGTAGTGGTGAGCAAGTGTTCAAAGGCTGCATCGCAAGCGGCGCCATACGAGGCGGCGTCGGGATCGGCGCGAATCCAGTTGGTGTAAGCGTCGGAGCAGAGCGGGACCGAGTAGTGCCGGACAAACTCGGGGCGGAAGAGGTTGAACAGGAACGAGCCGCGGACGCCAGGAAAGGCTTTGGGCGGCATCGGCGGCATCAGCCGCGCCGTGTCGATGAGGTAGTAGCGGCCGTCGGCGCCAGTGTGGACTTCGAGGTCGCCGGGGAACGGGATGGTGGCGGCCGAGGCAGCGTACATACCGACAACATGCGGCGCGAGGTTAAGACGGCTGGCGAGGTTGTTGAGTGGGGCGTGCAGCGCATCGACATCGTCGTGGACGCTTTGCCCACCGTCGTCCGAGCCGTACACAAGCGACGAGTCCGAGATGGGCAGAAGCGACATGGCCGAGAGCCGGAAGCCCTTGTAGTCGACGACTGCCATGAGGGGAAAGGCGATGCCCGGCACCTCCTCGGCCATGCAAGTAAGCAGAAAGGTCATCTCAAGCGAGGCAACCTTCATGGCCACGCCGTCATCGCCGCCGTACAGGCCGTGGACGTCGAGCGCAAACTTGTAGAAGATGCCGTTGTGGATGTACTTTTCGCCGCCGGCCACCCCCCAACGTTTGCTGCGGGCTCGATGGTCCGCGGCGTGCCGGGAGGAAGAGCCCGCTCGTCGACAATGGTCGCCACGGCGGCAAGCACCTCGGCCCGAAACGCATCGGTGAGGCGACAGAGCTTCTGCAACCGAAGCTTGCTCTGCGACAGCGTCGCCGGCTGCCACTCGACAATGGCCTGAAACTCTGCGTTCCAATCACGAGCTACAAGCGCTTTGCCCGCTGCCGGATCGTCCACGTCCGGACCGTCTGCCGCCGCTGTCGGCGCGAGAGCGTGCGAGAGCGGATCATGGACGTCAGCCGGCGAGACGTAAGCAGCCACTGCTGCCACCGATGCAAGACCATCAGCAGCCGAGGGCGGAAGAGCATAAGCAATATCAGAGTCGGCAGAAGCAGGCGAGTTGAATCCGATGTGACTTGCGGCAGTCGAGTCAGGCGCGTCAAGAGCAGACCGAGGCGAAAGAGGCGATGCCAGTGCGGCCGAGCCCAGCGGCTGGTACACATCGGGCATGGCAAAGGGCGAAGCAGAGTAGGCCATGCCCGGATTGTAGTCGTCAAGCACAAGGTCCACATAAGCAAAGTCGGCCATGGCGGAGAAGGGGGGGGGGTGAGGTGGTGACACGGGTGGCAAGGGGCAGGGGAGAGGGGGGAAAGGGGGGAGGTGCGCGTGCACACATACAATGCGTTGTGGGCCTTCCTTTTTTTTTCCCTGTTTCCTTTTCGCTGGCCAGTGGCTCATGTAAGGACGTGCCATGCGCGTGTACGGGATGGGAGATGGGGGGGGGGG